GGGATAAAGTACAATACAGGGGTTCCCACTTTGTCCACAGGGGGCGCCAAAATTGACACCAAAATAGAGTTCCACACAGGAGCTTTTAGGCTTTATCGCTGATACCCCCCTAACACAGCTTTCAAGCATTATTATCTCTTTTTAAATGGTAAATCTTCTTGCTGATGGTCCGGTTTGCTTTTGTTAACCATAAAAATGCATCAGCAGGAATTTGACGGTTTTGTAAATGTCAAAATGTCAAATTCTCACAGGAGCTTTAATCTTGAATCAAATTTATTTTAGACAGGGTAATAGTGACTTGTATTTTTGAAATCTAATTCTTGCTCTGTAACTGCACATTTGATGTAAATAGGGATGCGACACAAACTGCAAATTCATCATTATTGCATAAAAACAAGCACATTACAAAATCAGAATTTACGTATGTCTGTGAGGATGTGCCCCATGTACAGAAGCTAGTCTTTGTCACAGGGGTTCCTGTTTAAACTCCCAGCCGGGACCCTTTGCTGCATGTCTTCCCCTACTTCCTGCTCCCCACATTTATTCCCACTCTTCACAAATCCTTCCTATAGAGCCTGTAAACAATAGTCTGCGGTTCCCAGATACTCAAAAATAACATAATAGAAATCAACACTATCTTTTTAGTAGTCTTATTTGCCTAAGTATTAATTTTACTCTATTTGGTATTCAGCCTAAACCTCCACACAGGAGCTTTAATTCATCAGATGTGATAACGTGTGGATTTTCGAACACCTGGATACAAAGAACCCGTCAGCGGTAGCGGTTGTACTCACCAACTAAGAGTCATAGCTTTGGTACAAGCTAAAACAACAAGCTCAAGAAATGCAAATGTCGCAGCAGGAATGGAAAAGGGGGGTTTACTGCACACATTCTCTCCATCTACTCGTCTATCTCTTACACAAATATTCACACACATCATGCAAACACACACACACACACCTGTTGCACAGCCTTGGGGCGAGTGGCTGCACTCCATCTTAACCTCATCTTCTCTTAAACCACGTCAGCATTTGACTATCATCATTGATGTGGCAGTTTTCTCTCTGCCGATATGAAAGACTCCTGTTTTTCACCCCGGGGGTTTGTGTTGATGGACTAACAACTGCAGACTGATGGAATTGTAAGAGTTGAACGTGTCCTCTCTGTAATGAGGTGTTGAATATGTGCATTTTTGTTTCAGACATGACAGCACGCAACGTGTGCCGCGTGTACCGCTGCTAGCTTGGAGCCACCCTTCACCTGAATTCCCCGCACACCTCACTCATCATAAATCCTCAGCAGTAAAGTCCCCTTTCTCCTCACTGTCTTCACACCCCGTACATGTCAGATCCACGTCTTCAACCCGTTACATTTCAATTCAGCTGCTTCACGCCGACATGTCTGCGGTTTTGTCATGACTAAAGGTGATCTGGTGCTGCTTTACGTTTTTTGACATGATTCGGATATTCATTCTGGATTCATGAATCGGTTGATGTACTTGCCGATCTAGTAATAGTTTGATCGTCGTATTATGTTTGTGAGGCCTGACTCAGTGTAGCGTACAAATCTCGGCATAAATTTAAATCCTACAACTTCTTTGTTTCCCGTGTTTGCTATTTTCAATTTCATACCTTTAAAATTGGAGATATAAAGTCGGTACGTGTTCGTAGGCACATGGATTGAATACCTACAATAAAAATATTGGGATGAATGTCTTTCATGGTGAAATTCGGTTGAGAATAAAGTTTCATTGACATCGGAAAGACATCGTTTATCTACTCACAGAGAATTCAGTATGTTGTTAAGGGTGGTCTTGGTAGTTGAATCACAGTGGAGGTCTTTATGGTAATACTCTTCCTTTTGTTTGGTTTCGCCATTTTTTTGCCCCTTCATTTCAGGCCTTGGTTTTTGTCAGAGGAGACACAATAATTATCTGTACCGTTGCACTTTATTATCCCCCATTTTGTTGCATTTTAGTCTCTACTTGAGGTATTTACCGTAATAGTTTAGGTAAACTGTGTTTTTACACGCATTACATGAAATTTGTGCATCATCTACATGGATATTTCTATGGGAACGCCCCTGTTTTGGCGCCCTTTCATTCTGCTTTCTTCTCCCATGAGGGCTCTGTGGACTCGGCCCCCCCTCGTCCCCTCCATTTTTACGCCCCTGCTCATGCATACATACCAAAAGACCGGAAACCAGACACGCTGTGATTATTCAAGCACTGCTGATTTTTTCGTCTTTTTGGGAGGTTGTACTCACCTGTGTGCTCCACGCTGCTGTTTTAAGACATTAAGAAAACACTCTGGCTGTTCTCAGGTTAAATTTTAGGAATGATTTTTGAGCGGGAACACGCACAGAGCGCCGTGTTCGCCCAGCGTTACATGCTCTGCTCTGTGTTACTCTGCAAATGGCTGTCTTGTTTCTGATTGCATGTGGAGAAGTAAAGATAACCATATGACACTGAAGTCAGACTCAACATCATTAATTATAAACACGTGTCTGCCCCTATTTTTAAAAGTACAACCCTTGCCTCCGAGAAGCTGACCAATGTTCGACTGCAGCAGCAGAGGAGGCCATTTCTCCTGCCTAAAAACACACTGTTCTTATTTCTCAAATACTGGTGTCAATTACAAAGACCACATTTTAATTTCTCTGTGTGAGTCAGAGGAGACTAATAGGACTGTGATCGGTGTGTTCGAGTTGAAAGGAAGAGTTGTTTGTTCTTGTTGTGTGCAGGGCTGAGGTAAAAAACAGAGCATGTAATGACTCTTTCATGCCACTCAGAGAGTTCACCATCATTTAGTGCATGTGATGGATGGTGGATGGTAAAAGGGGGGGCAGGCATGAGGGCTGGCTGACTGGTTTCAGAGAGTGTATGATCATCACGTCCCTGTGATGTGGTTCACATACGGTCTAAGAAACACTACGATCCCTGAGCAACGGTCCGTGACCACTGGATGCGGGGAAGAGTGCTTTCCAAGTCAAATCAGCCCCTGCATATGTGGAGGACTGTTGACACTGTCACATGCAAGGACTGTTTACGCTGCAGGAATGGAAACACAGGGCCGTATCTAAAGCAAACCACGCTGTGAACCCTCAGCAGCAGGTAGAGCTCTGTGAAAGAGCAGGTGAGCAGATTTATCAAGTTATTAATCTTCACTTCAGCAGCCGCGTTTGTTTAAATCTCCGGTTTCCACTGCAGGGCTAGACAGGACTTGCCAGACACACTCATAATTTATTACTCCACACTCCCCCCCTCATAACTTTCAGAGTATTTTTGCATCATTTTGCTAACATGTCATTTGTCAAGCCGGCTGTGTGCTTTTCTTTTGTAATGAACACGTTGAGTTGGCCCTGACAGGCCCTGTTTGGGCCTTTCTGTGGTGGCTGGAGGTTCGCGTTTGGGTCACATGTCTGATGACCTTGCAGACCGCAGGCGGATGGGCCTATTTGTGGCTCTCTGAATGCACACGGCCAACTCCACCTCAACCCAGGAGTCTGGGAGTCCCCAAAACACAGATTTCAGCGTTTAACGCAACAGTGAAGGTCTGATTTACAGTGTTTGACTTGAGCCTAAATCTGGCTGAGAAACTCTTCTCTAACCTGAGCTTGTTTAGAATAGCTATGACTGTTTCACCATGTTAGACCATCAGTGTGGAGCAAAACAGGGCCTTCAAATGTAAGACTGTATGAGTCATTAAATGCAGCTTTTTTTAAAGCCTGAAAGATACTGCAGTTCATACATAATTTTTTTTTCTTTTTGTGAATTTAGCATTTTTTATTCTTTTCTTATTCATCTGAAATAGGCCGGAAAATGTAATTTTATGCAGCAACATCCATGCTTGAATATTACTTCATCATAAAAACAGCACATAGTTTAAAAAACTGGATTAGTATTAATACATATTTAATCTGGCGTGAACTATGATGATTATAGACAAAGTTTCACTAAAGAGCACGAGTTCAGTTTTTTTAAATGACTGAATTTGCATTTTGTGGGGATGCTCTTTGTGTGCTTGTATTTTCTGATGAGGTTTTCCCGTCAACCCGTGCTTTGTTTTAGAAAATCCAGCCTTTGTATGAGCGCAGGCCTTTTTTTTTTGTTTTGTTTTTATGAAAAGCAGTTTCCTGCTCATGCAAAATAGGCCTGTAAGCAACAACACCCTGAATTTAGCACTGGTAAACCTGCAGAAATAGGGAAGTGGTGACACCTGGTAGCTTCAAACAAAAAGTAAGGAGTCCCCAAACAAGCTGCCAAACTCCACAAAGACCAGTCAAACAATTTAATTAGATACATTCAATTTCATTGTGCAACATTTTTCATCCTTAATGCTCTCGACTCCAACATGAGACAGATGCCAATTTTGTCTGACCGTGTGTGGAGACCCTCATGCTGTCTGTACGGCTAATTGCACTTCATTCAACGTACCTTAAATCTAATAAATAAGACTTCTCTGTGGAGCTCTTGAATAAGCTACATTTTTGAGAAGTGAGAAAACATCGCTCCATAAGACACTTAGAGTTATCAAAATGAAACACAATAACACAAAGCACAAACATATAAAAACAAGAGCAGTTATGAAGCACCCTGAAACACTAATGCAAAGTTTTCCCCCTCTTCTCTGATTGCGTTTATGAAGTTATACGTTACCCCGTTTTGCCCAAAGACATTTTGCAGAAGTGTGCGGTTAAAGAATCTGAGAGGAGGTGTGTTGATGGATGGAGGAGCAGTCATACATCAGTCCTTCAGTTTACACCTGTCCTGCAAGTTCTTTCGCACAACAAGTTTGTAGTAAAAATTGATGGACTGTTTATTCCTCGTGTGGAGGAGGAGGAGGAGGAGGAGGGGGTCGCCTGCAGAACAGCACAAATACAGGTCCTGGGGCCGAGTCCTTCATGGAGACGAGGCTGGATTAGGCCACAGGGGACAGACATGGTGTCTCCTGTCTTCACCGTCTCCCCCCCTCCTCCTCCTCCTCCTCGCTCATCAGTCTTCACAGCACCGAGGCGGTGACAGGGTGGAGGGCGTCGCGGCCGGCTGTCATGCTCTTGAAGGCCAGCGGGGCGGCGATGTCACAGCTGTGGGGAGAGAGAGCACTGCCACTGGCCGGCTGCCATGTGGGTCCGGTCACATAGGCCGAGGTGGTGGCGCTGTACCCCATGTAGGGTGACACTTGGGTGGGAGGGTGGTAGGGAGGGATGCTGGGTGCTGTGACATAGCTGTTCACTGTGGGCAATCCACTCGGCGTCTGGGGGAAAAAAGGGAAAATACACCAAAATTACAGAAGATAGAAGTCAGTGTCAGGTGTGTAAAGTTAAAAAAAATTCAGTTTCATTTTGTTGTTTTTCTCAGAACTGAAAAAATCTGACATGATTTTTTTTAAATGTAATTTTTTGAATCTTCACAAAATTAAATAAGTTTAATGGAGAAAAGGCAAAATTATTGAGGGTTCTGCTATCAACTTTAGAGAACAGCTAACCTTAATCAATCTTACTTTTGAAACACAACAGCTGAAAAAGAAATTATTACTCAAAGCATAACTGCAATAAATCAACATTTTGTCATTCAGCTCACAGGCATCTTTGTTGAAAGGGTAAAAAAAGTCACTGGAGGATATTGGCAGGTTAAAATTATATTGTCAAAAAATATTGCAACAGAAGAGATTAAATGTACAGTACAATTCTGAACACAGGAAACCAGGTTATGAGAAAATACATTACAAATCAAATTACTACAGTAAAACAATTCACTTTAACAACAGAAAAGGTGATATGGTGAGGAATACTAAATCTGTTACATATCTGAAACTCAGATTAATTTAGCTTTAGGGCCTCTCTGCTTAGAAAACTGCAGTTTTTGGTATTTCAAAATGATCATTTCTATCCGAAATTGTCAACAATTTTTTTACAAGTGTGATTCTGCACACTAGCAGCTGACACTAGAAAAAAAACTGTTTTTAGAAAAAAGGAAACCAACGCTGCAAGCACTGTGAGGGGAAGCATTCTTAAAAAAACAATATCCACGTGTAAGATCTGCATTAGTCACCTAAAACTTGACAGCAAACTTTCATTGAAGGGCCCCCTGCTTTATTTAACACAGTTTTAAGACTCATCTCTCAAAACCCTCAGAAAATCAAGTTACTCTGTGCTCGTGTGCATTAGCAGCTAACTTGTGAGGGGAAAAAAACAGAAAGCAAAAGCAACAATGTGAGCAATGCATGCAGCGATTAGCAACACGGCTTAGAAAGATTTAGAGCTGCCATTCTGAATGAAATATCTCTATCTTCAGAATTATTTCCTTTTTTTGAGCTAATCCTGCTTTATTTACCACATTTTCAGCATTTAACTTCTGCCATTTCTCTTCAAAACAAAGAGAAGAGAAACAATTTGCCAATTTGAATCATTATTGGCTCTATTATTTGTTGATATTGCACACATGCAGCTGAGTTATGAAGGAAAAAAAGCCAGAGTAAAAGCTACACATATGTAGGTTGTATTATAAACAGCAGAAATTGAAACCCTGGCTTCACAGCCACCACATAAAAACCCATTTTCCCAATTTTGATGAAAGTATGACTGATCAATTATGCGCTCTCATGCCCCTGGAACATATTAAGCATATAAAAACCATGCATGCATGATTGGCCTGCCGTCTATGAGGCTTGTTTTCTGCCTCAAAAAAATAATAAGTAGGCATTTTCCTCAGCGGGCGTTGATGTCCAACGTCAGACGATGGGAGACAGGGTGTTTTGGGGGGGCGCCACAAAACAGATGTCAGGAAAGATTGAGAGTGAAAGCGCAGGAAGAGGAGAAATATGATAGAGAGCGAGGAGAGCAGTGTTCAGAGCATGAATGGGCTTTTGCTTTTCTGGCACAGCGACAGGACTTAAGTCGAGGAATTCACCAAAGCTTTTCAGCAGGGAGGCCGAATTTCTGATCCTGGGTGGTCTGAGACTACTGAGAATTATTTCAAAATTTTGGATCTTCTTTGACTCACTTTCACTGACTCAAGGAAATAAGAAATATGATCCTCTAAGTCTGAGCTGACATTGTGGTGCTTATAAAACATAAGTATAGAGAGAAACCTGTTCCTGTTGGTGTCTGTGGGTCTGTCCTGGGTGACTGTGGGTGACTTGGTGGGTGTCTGTCTATGATTTTGGGTGTCTGTACGTCTTCACTCTGCTCAGAAATTGCTGAAACCTATTTTACAAACATCCACACTGGCTTTAAACCAACTTTTTTTTCTTCTTTAAAATCAGCCTGAACATTTTCCAACAATAATTACATCAGCCCCTAATGCAAAGCACCCCATCTGACACACTCTAACACAACAACAGCATATATACACACGTACAGCAATGTACACTGTGTAGATTCGTCCAAACACACATGGAGTATCCCTACAAAATGACAGGAAACACTTTCAGAACAGAGCACTCCACTATAAGAAGACTAACTACATAAAACTCCAAAAAGACCACAGAGTTGTGTGACACAAAGTCAACATAATGTTTACAAAAGAAGGATGGATTTATGGTATAGGCTTAAAGCACAATGCAGACTTTGTTTGGATGTTACTATAAGTTTGCCCACTCTTTCTTTCATTATATGAAGTAGGGTTGAAAAGCCTATACTAAATATGCTGTTGAACTACAGACACACACTGCAGCCTATGTCTTAAAATTCAGAGTTCACTGTAAATGTTAAAACGTGGTAAATATGACAAAATCAGCATATCACATTTAGAAAAATATGTAAAACACTGAGAATTCGCTTAATTAAAACAATACAAAAATGTTTTTAAGTCAGTCTGATAGTTTCAAACAAAACAGGTCCATTTTCTCTTTTCTTTTCGAAGTTTTTTAAAAAGTTTTTCTGCTTTTAAAATCGTTGGGCACGAGTCAAAAGAGACAAAATGACGACAGCAGCGTAGCATGGAGTCAGTCAATCAAATGATTCCAGCTCACGCGGATTCTTTAACGCCTTGATCTTTTTCAAAAATTCGAATCAACCGTTAAACATTCGAATGTTTGAATTTGACGGTTAAACCGTCAACAATTCAAAAATGTTACTAATAAATAGAAATATGTGTGAAGTTTTACAGATTTTTTTTTTTACGAAATTTAAACCTAATCCTCTCCGAACCGTCGCGCTCGCTGCTAGCTCGTGATGTAAATATTTTTTTAATGACAGTCTACTCTTCCTTTTTCTTCTTTTTCTTTGACGTCCAGAAAAATAGAGACCTGAATCCCATGAACGCTCCTGCCCTCTGAAGAGCGTCAACAGGCCACAGAACTGCAGCGTTTGGCCTTCTGATAGAAACAGCCAGAGTTTTCCAAAAAAAATAAACCGCCTTAAAAACTTAAAATTCGGTAGGCCCGTTTGAATGAGCTCAAATGACAGTCAGCGCTAAAGACATGTAAGAATTAGCTTAAAAACAGACAAAAGACAGCGACTTTCAAAGTAGAGCACAACTCCTACATGACATTTTTGCTTTTCAGTCAGAGTGTGTAACAAATAAAAGATCAGGTCTGGTATAAAATCTCAGCAGGCTGCTATGTAGCCTCTGCTCCATGCTTTGTTTTTCCTGCTGTAAACTCTGTAATTTATTGAGTTGTTATTTTCTACATTTAATGGCTCACTTGTGTCTTTTTCGAGCTGTTTGGCTCAGGCTCTTCACTCTGTCCAATTGGTGCTGAAATTTCTGCTAATCTCACAACCAGAGTAAGAAGCATGAAAACTACCCCCCGATGAACAGAAAAAGCAAATAACCCTAACCCTTGAAATTACGTTTTTGCTTGTACCGAGAATTAGACGCCCTGTCAAAATTAGAGAAAACAAGCGCGCGTACAAACATGATATCTTTGTGGTCTCCTAAAAAATAAAAGCCTTTGAAAAACTTTTACAAAAACAGAATCATTACGTTTGAATAAAAAATAACCTACAGCTGATAAAACACGTAAAATCAGAATAAATTAATAGAATTGTTTGAAATTAAGAGAACTAATGCACACTACATATTAATAATTTTAAGTAACCACTGAGTGAGAAAATGGGCGTCTGGGTGTATGAACACTGATTTATCCATCTGTATCGCGTCCAATTGTTGCTCGAGTAATTTACAGTAAAAGCCCAAAATTTTTAGGCCTGCAGATAATTCAGATAATATTAGTTATACATCGTAATACACCCTAATAGAAAAAAAATCTAGTTTGCAGCTCTCCCAGTATATATTTAATGTCATGGTTCTAAGTCTGCTTATAGATTGGCAGAAGTACTGAAACTCAACTTTTCAAACACTGCAGGCCTATGCTGCTACAGGAAACTCAAAACAGACCGTGCTTTAGTTTTCTGACTTTTTTTATGGCTCCATTCACTTTCTGAGTGTTAAAATACCCAACAATCATTTCAGAGAAGCCACCAAACCAAGCTGGGAAGCAAGAGGAAGTCGACGATCCAAATCCCCTTAACCTTATGGCTATGAAATAATTCACACTCAGATGATTCATTAAAGCACTGACCATAGAGCAGAGACAGTGCGCCCTGAGCAGCCAAAATGATGATATATTAGTGTATTATCGTGCCACATATAACCAGCAGAAGGGTCGCGTTAATGCTGTGAAAGGAGGAAATTTCCAAACCACATAATTACTCAAATATAAAATATTCAAGACTTGAGTTCAGCCAGATTTTCAGAACTTTTGATCAACTCCTTTCACTTTTGTTGAAGCTACAATAAATAAAAAGGTGTCCAGTATTAATTTTTACCTGTGTGTATTTTGCTTCAGGTTCTAAATGCGGTTTATCCACGCCATTGACTAGTGCAGAGCTTGCTGGAGGGAAATTAGTCCTGTTTATAGCGCTCCATTCTTCTAGTTTGGTGCTGGGAAAGGATGGACTGTCACTAACTGGGGGAAGTAAAAGAGAAAGAGAGGAGAGGAAAGTCAGAGAGGAGATCTTGAGATAAAGAGAAAAAAAACGAACAGCACAGGCCGCTTACTGCTCGTGCACTCATCAGGCCCAGGTTAACCAGGCTGCACGAGACCATTAACCCGGTGACATTCACTGCAGCACGCTTCTGAGGCAGGTTTTACGCGCGCCTTCCTGTGCGTAAAGTTCAAAACTAAAGTATCACTTCTATATTTGGTAACGTATTTAAATAACATGAAACTTCTCCAATAAGAGGTTTTCTTGTTGGAGTTATTATGTTTAATCGAAAATAATTCTCCTTAAAGACGAGCAAAAAACGTATAATATTTAAAAAATACGGGAAACCCTCATTGTGTCCCCACGTGTCTTAGTGTAAATGCGTTTAAACTGAAATGATGAAGCTCAGATTGAGTCCCATTTGGATTTGGCACGGCTCTCTGGTGGGTCAGGGGCGTTTCAGACCCACCGTATCGTCCTCCTGCGAGAGGCAAATTAGATTTACGCACAACGTCCCCCTACTTACGAGAGTAATGGACATGATATAGCTAACACGCGATCCCCAACGTTTACACCAAGAATGGCACGTTATATATGTCGACACATCCGCGAGGAAATACGCGATTTGTGCGTTTTTGTGCTTCCATGTTCATTTTTACCAATGTGTCCGTATACGCGTAAAACTGCAGTACAGTTTGGGATATTATCCTTGCACACACTGTCTTGACTTTACCCGCCATTGTGCAAGAAATTCTGAATATTTTTGTAATTGCAGGACTTTTTAAGTAACACGTACAAATCTGCAACAAACATCTGCTTAAATTTAGAGGGCCCTAAATTGTTTACAAAGGCAGCCGGATGTCTTGTGTATATCTCCCTCACATCTACTTTAAAACTGTCTTTGCTTTGGATTATTCTCGTGGCCGTGGAAGTGGAGAGCAGCCATGAATCCTGACAGCTAGGCCCGCTCTGCAGCAGGACTGACAGCGCTTCCCCCTCCTGCTTCTGGAAAACAAGCTCTCAGAAAATCCCTTTCACAACACCGAGCCGACCATTAACACTGATTTATGCCGGATCCTGTTTCACTGTTTCCAAAACAGTTGTGGTCTCGTTGAGTGCGAGCCAAAAGCTATGAGGGCCTCTATACCTGCATGTGAACGACAAACATCACACATGCAGCAAAGACAGGGGAAAAAAACTCGTCCTAATACGAGACCTCTCCCTGCTGCACAAAATGTCTGGCTGCAGCTCATGGCAAACATTCAGCACACCTCATTCTGATGCACTTCATCTCACCGCCTTTCCCCTCCGCTGTCCCTCTAATATTCCACATCCGCCGCTTAATTATTACTGCAAGCCGGACCATCTGTTTCTGACCTAGCTGCCTCCCTCTCAAATCAATATCAGCAGGCAGGTCAAGCTCTCTCCCTCCGCAGAGGCCTGTGAGTTGAACATGCTAAACAGTGACTTAAAGAGGCCTGTAAGAGACTCAAAGTGAAATGCAAACCCACACTCTCTCCAAACACACGCTCATTCTCACTCTTGCGCGCAAAACCCCTTCAAGAAGTTCTTTAAATGTAGTGCAATAAACAAATGCAACCGCCCTCCGTGCGGCCATGCTTACTTTGTTGCTCTGTAATAGACCGTATCCCCAGAATATCTGTTACGGAGTGCGACGAGGGCCATATCCTGTGCATGGCCATGTGTCCAGGGAGGGTGGGCATGCCGGGGGGAGTGGGCACTTTGGAGGTCGGGTAAGAGTATAAGTGGTTGTAGGGTATTGTTGGTTGTGGTGGTGGATGCGGCGCCTGCTTGCCGGACTCGTACTGGCTCTGCTGGGTCAGATTCCCGATCTTGTTGCGCAGGATCCGGCTGATGGAGCTAACGGAGGGCAGGTTGAACTTGTCGCACACCCCGTCTGCGAGTAGCCTATCCCGGATCTCCCAGGCAAAAATCCCCGGGTCTCTCTGCTTGTATGTCCGTATGTGTTTGACCACGGTGGGTGTGGTGACCCTCGGCTTGCTGCCCCCGATGGCCCCCGGGAGGATGGAGCCGGTCTCGTTGTAGCGGGCCAGGATCTTGCTCACGCAGCCGTGGGAGACGCGCAGCTGCCTGCTGATGTCACAGGGTCGAATCCCGAGCTGGGCCAGCTCCACGATCCGGAGCCGGATGGCGTTGGGGAGCGGCCTGCCGTTCACGAAAACCCCGCCGAGTTGGTTCACCTCACCGAAGGCTGGCTCTGGTGACAGAAAGAAAAACACACACACGCACACACACACACAAGGGCAGAACAATGAGACAGCGATTAGGTTACTAAAGCAAGGCCCACCACAGGCTGCTTAGACCCGGGTTAAACCAGCACACAAATAAGGCCCAGAAATCCCCATACACAAACACACAATCAATCAAAGTAATAATTGATAAACCACATTTAGTATCTTAATTTAAAGTCTTGATTTGATCACTTTGTTGTCGAAACTCTTTAATTTATCTTCAAAGTTGATCTTAAATAAACCATCTTTACGCACGGTGTTTTTTCAGCTTCAAGTGTTCCGCAATGAAAGAGTGAAGACTAAAACAGCAAATTATCACACTGACTTAAATATAATGTTTGTCTCTAAAGTACTAACACATAGCTGACTGATAGCTGTCGTGCACAGAGGTTAAACTTCACGCGGATGTTCAGTGGTCAACAACAAAACTGGTGCGTAACAGACACATGGAACAGTTCAGTCTGCCGGTCCCTTTCCCTCCGGATCAGCAATAAATCTGAGCCGTCAAAACATCTCACTCAGACAATATCTCGCTAAACTTTCCCCACCTTGGCTGTTGGACCGCTCGCTGCTTGCTGCATCCCTGACAAGAAGAAAAAAACGATCCAACTTTGGACTCACCCATCGCGTTAAAGCCGCAAACGAAGAATAAGGTATCCGCGTTGTGCCTTCTGCGTGGGTCCTGCTCCGCGTCCAGCGTGTCCGCCTTCCAAATCCGCGTCCAAAGGAATCGTCCTGTGCGATAAGGAACAAGAGGGACAAAATTCTCGATCTGTTTCCTGACGGCACTGGAGACAGGCTTACATTTCAATCTGTTGAAATCGGGAGGCTGGACTTCCAGCGCTTCTCTTCCACTGATTGGCTCAGCTCGGGAGTGGAAGTTTGAGAATGTGCAGACACGTGCTGTGATTGGTCCAAAAGTTTGACATGACAAGTCCACAGAGATCCCCCCCTCCTCCTCGTCGTCGTCCTGCTGTCTCCCATCAGAAAACAATGGGATATACCACCATGAATGCTTTTGTTATTGAGACAGATAGGGTGAGTATAATGCTGTATCTAGACTTTGGATCAGATCTGGGGTTATTGTGCTGTCATGAAAATGATGCGTAAATGCTCCAGCTAATGACATTCAAATACTACAAAAACGGATAAATATACAGCTATTATCACCAAACGCACACCTTATCCCCGACAAGTGAATCAGAAAAAACTGTATAATTAAATTCTGGTTGTTTTATGGCAAAGATTTATCCTTTCAAAATAAAACAACCTCCAATTTCTGTTATGAAAACAAAAAGGTGGAAACCATGAGTTTAGGTGGCTTTACGCTCCACTTCACCAGCCTTCATCTTGACCTTTTAAATGGCATCATTAAGGAAATGGGAGGAAATGAATGATTGGTTTTGAGTAATGTAATTTGCAGGGTAATGTTTTTGTAAATTGTATCTTTGTGCGCTTGAAGATTATCACCTTATTCCTTCATCTTTCGCCCGTGTTTAATCCTCCTTTACGCATCAAGTTTCATAGGCTACACTTTATAAAATAGGATAAAAATATTTTTTTTCACTGGGATGAATTTATGCTGAAACTACGGTGACCAAAGACGAACGTGTTACGACTTTTAGAAAGCATGTGTCCGGCCTTGAATTCTAAAAAACAAACAGCCACTTTCTGCAGATTTATCCCTTGTGCCAATTTTATTTTGAATATCAGTGTTTTATTTTTTTTAATTGTTACGATAATTCCAGTATCGAGTGTGGTATAAAGTCACAGATTTCTCCTACTTCATTTAAACCTGACAGCAAGTTAATTTGCATTTAGCCTTGCACTGGAGAGGACAGATGTTGCCTTTGTTTTCCAATTACGCACTTGGTGCGTAAAAACATCCAGAACTCTGAAGTGATACAAAAAAATAAATTTATGTCCTGAACTTTGAGCAGTTACATTTCAGGCTAAAGGTTACTTCCTTTGTGGAGGAATATTTCTTATTTTTTGACTCTGCGTACGTGCACGCGCTGCACGCAGACTCCTCTTGCAAAAAGGAGTAGGAAAGATTTGTTGCTTCCCGACACGAGAAACAAACACACGCCATAACTTTGCGCCTTCACTCTCTCTCCCTCTCCCCGTTTTGACACATGCTTTGGGTTTTCTCGAGTAATATTTTAGAAAGGCCACGGCGCATGACTGACCTTCATCTCTGCGCAACCTGAAGGGATTAGCGTGCGTGTGAACATCAAACGGCGCTCGTGCACGTTCGTGCAATTAGGAAATATTGTTGAAAACCCCTCCACTGACATTAAAACACCGAAGGGGCCAAAAATGTACACAAAGAGCTTTCCTCAGTGTTTGTTGCAGCACATATAGCTCTGCTGCAGGCCTGAGACTGGAGGGAAACCTTCTTTTCCTCCTTTTCTTCGTAGTTTTCCCACCTTTTCAGGATGGCACAAATCTCTGAAATTACAGATTTCAGCGCGCACAGTGCCACAGTAGACAGGCTTTTCACGGAGGCGTAGATTAAAGCGTTTCAGGAGATACCTCTGTTTACATGATGGATTATGACCCACTGGTGGTCTGAGTTTGTCCTTTTTTAAAATATATGCCTCCTCATCGCTGCTCGTGCCCCCACCTGCCCACCCTGCTCCGCTCCCGGGCCACTAATGCGTCAAGGATAATGTTTACCGTGGGGGGAACGTGCTCAACTTGTTTCCATTGAGGTTCCTCTGGTGGCTGAAATAACAGAAGGTCAGTGATGAGGGATCAGAGGTCTCTGCAGACTGCTCCATCTTCAGTGTTTGGACTGTGTACAGACACCTTCCTCTTTCTTGTTTGGATTACAATGGATGTCCGAGTGAGGATGCGCAACGCTGCAGCCACGAGCATCACCTAACCCAGTGGATCTCAACTGGTCTCACTCTGGGACACACATTTTCCCATTGTCCTCAAGTCGTGACCCACTTTTATAGAATTCAAACCAGGCAAATTTATTTTTTTAGGAAAAAACAAATAAAAACTAAAATCTGTAACATAAATACTCCCATTTTATTGAGTAAAGTGCATTTGAGAGCACATAAATTGAGGATGACAACTACTGAAGTTCCGTATACAGAAAATATCGATACCAATTTGCACAAAATAGAGACCAGAAAAAAAACAGCCCATGTATTTTTACTGCATTCGGGGCACATTAATAAGAAACCAATGAGGACCACGACATATCGCCTGCCTTTCAAAATAAGCAATTTTTCAAAATAAAAGACATGCCAAACATCAGAAGGGCATTATATATATATATACTTTTTGGACCAGCTGTTCGCGACCCATCCAGAACATGTCCACGACCCACTTTTAGGTCAGGAGCCACCAGTTGAGAACCACTGACCTACCTGATGATATCATATAACACCTAAAAATTATTTCGATTAATCGCCTTTTGAAAATTTTAAAGGTTCTTACATTGATAACATTTAGAAATATATTTTATATCCATTTAGTCTTAAAGCGATGTGATAATAAACCTTAATTTATTACGTAATAATAATAATAATAATAATAATAATAATACAGTTAAGTGTCAGACTATATGAGGCTTAAAGTCCTTCTAGGTCATAATAATGGTTTCCAGACTCCACACGGCTGTCACATGCCTGTTGAGCTCGCGAGCCCAGACTCGTCCGTGTCGAATTGAATCGTTCAAACCGGCCGTGAAGGAAACGCATCACTTGTCAGACAAATTGTGTAACGATGGACTCTCGGCGCAGCTCCGCTCCGGCTGCAGCTCCCCTGCAGGAGACAGATCGGAGCGCTGACTTCTGGCCTCATCTCACACTGATCCTGACATGTCTGAGCAGAGCCTGCGGAGTGACACGAGGAGGCCTGTACATCATCATCATCATCTGCTGCTGCTGCAGAGGAGAGAGGCGCGTTCACATGCAGGACTACTTCAACTTAAAAACAATCGACCTGCTTTCACTTTACTGTTACAGCTTTATTTCTCCTGTGGGTTGTGTTATTAGTATTAGTATATTATTAGCATGTTGTGCTGCCACAACTCTGATACCTTTACGGTTCTTGCGCCAAAAACGTGGACGAAGAGTTGACGTCACGTGGCCTGTGTGCGCCACTGTAATTTAATGGATGAGGAACATTATGTAAATAATCAGATTTCAACACATGCGCATCCTGCAGCTGCAGCCTCCAATTCAACATTTTTGAAAATGTCTTTCCTTCTTTGAGACGTTGTTTTTTTTATTATTATTACATATTAATGAATTATATTCCTCTTATTAGTTAAACTAAACCTAAACTCTCTGCTGCCATGCCATTGGATAATCTTAATTCTGATACTCTAATCCCACAGACATAGTCTAGTAGGGCCCTACTGTGATCACCTATTCATTTGCTTGACCCAATGTTATTAAAGCCCAGTAGGCTTGTTATGGAGCTCATGTTTGTTACCCGTCATTTTGCAGCTTTGTATTCCCATTTTTCAATATTAAAGCCTGAACTATAGAAATAAACATCCATGAAAAACAAGAAACAGTATATTTTTTCTTTTTAATCCAGTCCCTTTGGTATAGCATGATGCACATATCTCAGGATAATGATTTAAATTGTTGTTATTTAGAGATAAATGTATTATCTGGTATTAATTTGTTTCCTTCTCTGGTTTGTTTGCAGGTTCTTTGGTGTATTTACCTTCAGTGGATTACTTTCAGCAAACAGCTGCACAGTGGAGCTGCTCCATGACCTCGCTGATCTTCTAACCTGTTTATATCACAGCTTTGTTTCATATCAAAGTGTTTGTTTTGCTCATAATTGATCTCACAGGCAGAGCAGCTCCTCATTGAGTCAAGATGATGGGAGGTACACGGAGGGACAAATATGTTTGTGCTTCTTGAAGCTGCTGACCACTCTGAAGAGGATAATTTACTAAAAAATGAATCCTTACCTAACAGTTAAGGGTAAAACATCCATTTATCTCCTTAAATGTGAATGTTGACACCTGCATTCCCTTTAAGGTAACAAAAATCAGGATAATATCGAAAACTGTCTGAACTTGACGCCAAAATCCGCACATAAATCAAACAGAAGCTCCTTTATTTCGTTTGTTTTTTTCTTGCAGAGTCAAAACTGTGCCAAAAAGATCCAAACCACTTTGTTGACATGTTCGCAGGGTTCAGGATGACTGCCTCTCCCACCTCAGCTATCTCCTTCAAGTGCGAGCAAAACAACACAACCACGTTTTTTTTTTTTTTGTACTTTTTCATTTCCAACGAGTGAAGACTTGATCGCCTCTTTCTCTCTTTGTCGCCACAGTCTGAGGATGCAGAGCAGCTCTGGGTGTCAGAGGTACCTGTCAGGACTTATTCAAGGCTGTGAACGTCGCTTCAAAGAGGTGCGGAGGATTTCAGGATTTGGATTAAACCTCATATGAAATAATAATAAATAAAGTGGGAGAATGAGAGTAAACTTTCACCTCTACCTCAACACAGCTCATCTACACCCTCTTCTCCCTTTTGGAGAATATTTGTCATGTTGCTTTCAATTGAGTTTGGCTAAAAACAAACATACTAAAACCAAATTTTCCATAATCTTCTTAAACACTTACAATATTTTGGTCGTCTATAATTCAACCCAGGAATATGAATCATACTCAAAGTGGGTCTCATGGTCGAGACACTCCTAGAAATAGTCCACAAACAGATTTCAAGCTTACCTCCATCCCATCGCGATAATTCAACATATTAGCATCTTTATTTAAGAAGATACTAAAATATTTCACCCCCCAAAAAATCGAAATATCTGTTTATTTATATTGTGTTTATTGCAACAGGGTATTTCAAGAATCCGATCTTGGTGTTCAGTTTGCCTCTAATAATGAAATCAAGCATAAATTACAATTTGATACAAAAATCATAATAATAAGCGTAAACTCTTGACTCATGATGAAGTAAATGAAGAAGTGGAACAGTTAAAGAAGGGAATGTAAAAACAGAAATATGGTAATATGTAGTCAAAAATGCCAGCACAGAATGAGACGATACAGTCCCGATACAATCCCTCATAATTTATCGTCAATATCGTGTTATGTCAAATGTCCAATGGTTGATTATTCCCCTTCACCAGTTAAACTGTTTAATTTTACCACAAGAAACAAATTTGAAATAAACTTGTAAAGAATTCAACTACAGATTGTTCTCAACAACTTTCTGCAGTAATGAGACTAAAATAATTTTACTCTAGACGATCAAAATCGGAATATTAACTCGGTTTGTGGCCTCATAGTATTTCAGATATAAGGAGTGTGTCTTGAGGCACAACTGAAGACTAAATATGAAGTGAAGCCCAACAAATCAAACATAAAACTAACTTAATGACTGACCTGTTTTATTGTAGAAGGGTGACTGTTAATGTAATCAGAAATAACATAATAGAAGGAGGCGATATGGAACCAAATAAGGTATCGAAAATCGGTAATGAGCTCTCGCCAAACATATTAAGACTAATGTTGACTTATTAAGGGAAATATAGATTTACATCATTAAAATTTAAAAATAAATCTTTAAGTCCAATAACGTTGAATATTTTTATTCAAAAGCATATATAAACTTTAGTTTTCTATGTAATTGAATTACGCAAATGTAACCATATTGTCTAACGTGAAATATCGGCATCAATTCATTCATATGGAGTCAAATAAAGAAAATGTGTTGTTTAAAATAGGCAAATTTGGTCGTACCTTGTAAATTATTATTTTTGTTTGTATTTGAATCAAATTTTGTTCGATAATGTCAAATATGTTCGTCTTTTGAGTATTGAATGTTCAGGTAAATCCATTTGCTCCGGTCATCTTGTTCGTAGGCAAGCATACAAATATGATTTTATTGAATATAAAGAGAGTATTGTTATATATCTGTGAAATAAAAAAGTATGATGTGATTTACCAGTGTCAGATCATGCTAAAATATAGTTTTACGCATTAGTACGGAGCCTGGTCACAAATGCATATAAAGCTGTGAACCCTAGAAATGTATTTTGTTTTCCTTGTTTTGATGAGTCGGATTAACGTGAAGCTTCTGACACTTTTCTTTATCATCTTTAAAAATTAACGACAAGGAGGCTCATATTTCCTCCAACCATCGTTAATCATATCAAAATGTCTCCACAGGCTCAAATGAATATTGTCGTGTTTTTCTTGGATCATATATCCACTCCAAGGTACTGTCCAAAAACGGAATATGATGATTTATCTATAGGATACTTTCATGAAACCCGGTTATAAATTATTTGCAATTGAAAATAAAACTATACGTCTTTAAATGTCATGCAGCACATTAAAGGACGAAAAAAAACAACGAACAAAACTTTAAAAGGAGAGTTTAAAAAAGCTTTGTTTGAACCTAAGACACCAAAATATAAATGGAGACACGTGCAAAGTAAATAGTTAGGTCCCAAAGTCCCTCAGATTGAATTCACTGAATGGGGAAAGAAGTAAACAACAACCCAAAACTAATAAACATTTCATCATTTTGTGGAGCTAAAACTTTGACAAGGAAACTAAGGAGTAAAAAAAAACTTTTGTTATGGAGTCGAAAAAAAAACACTCAGCTGAATAAAATTTCGATGCAGAGGAATTACAACAAACCAATAAAAGCACCGATTGATCTGTTTGTGCTCTTTATTATTATTATTATTATTATTATTATTGTTATTATTATTATTATTATTATTATTATTATTATTATTATTATTATTATTATTATTGTTGTTGTTGTTGTTGTTATTTAATCCAGAGGTCTATCAGATGTTGCACAGCAGCGCACATAAATGCAGACATTTGTTCCAGCCATAATCACGTCCATGCGCACTAAATTTCTTGCATCCTTCCATCACCGCTACATGATTGTACATGTGTGTCAGTGGGCCTCAGCTTTAAACGCGTCTTTCAGAAAGAGTGAAGAGACTGGAAATGGATTGAGACGCTGTGGCTGTAACCCGTCACCCGATTCTTCTTTGTGGTCCCCAAAAAAACACTAAACCTAAAGAGTGCTCAGGAGCTCCAACAACTTCTTTTTTTTTTCTTTTTTAGCGCACAGATTAAAAAGAAGGAAAGCTGCCGAGAAGTTAAAATGTAGAGGAAAAAAAAGTTCCCAGTTCCTGTGTAACTGTTCCCAGTACGCTCCTGAAGGAAATCCAAGTCTCCACTAATGGTTACTCTTGAGGACGCGGAGTGATTTCTTGTTTCACAGAGAGATGGAGCTCTGTCATCTCACCCTTAGTGCGCAAACACTGAGATACTGTGCATGTGCGTCTATCACCAGAAGGCACCATTAACCCTGGTTATTTAAGCAACCCCTTTGATACACATCAGATCAGATAATACGGTGTTAATGTGCTGCTTTTGGGGGGAAATGCGCCTTTTAAATATCCCACACTGATGTCTTTAACCTCTGCTGCCCAAAAGCCGGTGACACCATTAAAAGTCTTTGCTCAGGTTAGCACTTATCCCGGGTTAGAATGGCCTGGTAACTTTAGTGCGGCCTTAATGAGGACGAACGCGGGTTAACGACCTATGTAGCCGTGTTTGAGAGGCCGGGGCCCGGGTCTGAGCGGAGAGAGGGACACAAAGCAACAATATTTACGACACTTTTACGCATACATCACTTTGACATCTGTGCGTCTGGCACCTGGCACGAATTAGGATCAGATATTTCATCCCGGTCTAATTTGGAGCGCCCTTTGTCCCGAACCGAGGACACTTAGAGAGAGTGGGTAAAGATGGAGAGGTTTACTGTTTTTACGCAGAGTCTCCTCTGTGCAGGAAAAGTGCAAATGGGGTGTTGATGCAGACCACACCGCTGAGGAGGCGGTGAGTCATACCTGGACTGGACTCAGATTGAATTTCCTCGTGCGTTGAGATCCCCGCACAGTGCGAAAAAAAACATTCCCGCAATTAGTCAGATTTGTGCGCACAAGCGTCAGATCAGTACCGCATCAAAGGAAGATAAACGAATGAAAGAGAGAATATTTAGAAAATAACTTTCCATCACTAGAGGTATAGTTCGTGTTTTTTTAAGAGGATGTCTCGAGCAGGCCTCCACAATCCGACCAGCATGCACCGCGGTGACTCT